TATGGAACTGTGAAAAAAGTGTCTAATAAAAAAGCCTTTACCAACAGCTCAACACTTCCCTTAAACCAGGGTCAGCTATTCCTTTAGTGTGTTTTTTCCTTTTACTGATTTTTTTTCTCACACAATATATCTTGATTACAGTTTCCCAACTATCTCTTCTCCTTCCAACTCCTCCTCAGCTCACCTCCCATCTGGACACACATCTCTTTCTCTTTCTTGTTAGAAAACAAACTGTCTGGCTTCTATGAGATAATAATAAAATACAATATAATAAGATAAAACAAAAAACTAGCATAACTGAAATGAAAAAACAAACAAACAAACAAAAACAGAAAGTACAAACCTAAGTGAAGGTACAAGAAACATGCCCACTAGTTAGCACACTCAGGAATCTCACACAAACACTAAACTGGAAGCTATAACATATACACAAAGGGCCTGAAGAGTAACAAGAAAGGATATAAATATAAATAAAATAAAAATAATAAAATAGCTTTGTTTGTTTGTTTGATTTTTAAGGAAGAGATCTAGCATGACAATATGTGGCAAGAAACGTACAAAGATACTGTTGAGGTCATTTTATTTTGTTCATTTATTCCTGGGCATGCAGTCTACCCACAAGAGTAGTTTGTTTCCCCAGTGAGACTCCCTTGAAGGAAACTAAATTCCTTTTTGTAAGTGATTATCAATTGGAGATTGTTTCTGGGTTAGGGTTGGGAGCATTTGTACACTTTTCCTTCATTCCTAGGACACCAACTGATATAAAACTACAAAGGCCCTTTGTATGCTCTCTCAGTCTCTGTCAGTTCTTATGTGCATTGATGGGGTTGTTTTAGAAGGCTTTGTTTTCATGCTTTCCTCCATGTTCTCTGGCTCTTATACTCTCTCTGTTGTGTAGCAAGATTTTGTGGAGAAAAGACTATGTACCTCACTAACATGATGTAGAATTTATCAGGTTATCATGTGTGAACTGTGGAGAAATGTAGAATCACAATGACATCCCAAGGGGATTGAGATTCTCCACATATCCTGGCACATCCTTCTTGACCAATGGTCACATTTAGCAATGTAGATTGAGATGGGGATTCTTCAGCAAAACAAATCAACATATTTATTTTTCTCCTGCTCCTTTTCAACCTCCTAAGTCATATCAGGTCTGAGTTTAGTAGCAGACCTCACTAAAGACCTGCAACTGAATCCCTAGGGAAAGATGCTTTTACTATGATGTATTAGTTAGCAAAACAATAGAGCAGAAGCTATTCTCAACAATCAAAGAACCCATCTCTTACCTCTCCTCCTTAAGATGTAAGCCACATATAACAGTCCTTTCCCACACATGCACACACATTATACAAATAAAAAACTATTAAAAATAAAATTGAAGAGACCACACAGTGGTTAAGAGCATGTGATGCTCTTGCAGAGAGGATCTGTATTTGATCCCCAGCACCCACATTGGGCAGTGCAACCACCTGTTACCACAGTCCAAGGAGATCTGACAAGCCTGTCTGACTTTTGATGGTACTGAATATATGTGTTGTACACATACACAAGCAGACACATACACATAATCAAAAATGAAGTTTTGAGACTGTAATAAAATATTAAATTTACCACCGAACCAAAAGCCACACATTATTCCTATTATTTGAGGCATGGGGATGGCCCAGAAGAAAAAAGTAAGGTGACACTCTGTTGGTAAGTATGTCTAACATGCTGATCCTTGTCTCCTGAACATAAAGAGGGGTGGGAAAGTACATGTCTTACACAGAGAAATTTCACTGATTTAATTACTGTTCTCTCATATACAATGATGATTATATATTGTTAATTACCACAGCTGTGGTCCTATGAAGAAGACAAACAGAGCCTCACAGACTAACTCTGAGGTTCACCCCACCACGTGAACAACCTAGCAAATGAGGTGTTGACTTAGTAATACTGGAAGATTAGATATTGAATAACAACTGTTGAATTGTTGTCTTCAAGGCCAGAGGAAGAAAGAGATAGGTATTTTGTCCCAGTTCACCTAAAATAAGTAAGTTGTAGAAACTGAACCAGTCCCTTGCAGTTCTAGGCCAGATGCAGTACTGAGATTTAGTTATAAGAAACTGAAAATGAGAAGATTTACAAGTGGAGGCAAAGCAGGTGATACAAAAAACCCAGTGATGAATTTGTTCAGTTACATTGAGACCTCATATACTGAGAGTCAACCTGAGACAAATCATAATATAAACATAAATGGATAATGTTAACCCAAGACATCATTTCTACATAGAAATACAATCTTAGTAGGAATAGGTCAACCCAATGGCAGTAGAAAGACTATTCAGATTATAATAAATGCCAGTGTATATTAGTCATATTTAAAGATATATACCACAGTGTAATGAAAGACTCCAAGTTAGTATCTCTAAATTCAAGGTTGTTGAATGCTAATCTGGTGTATATCACTGGCCTTGTCTCCAGCTGAAAGCAAGTTTTATTTGAGGTCCTGATATCTCTTCCGAAGATGTATTTAACTAATGTAGCAACCACCTAAAGTTTGCTCTTTTATGAAGATGATCACAACCAACAGACACATAGAAACCTACAGTTACTCAAAATTTGTCCATATCATGCCATTTCACATCCCATTCTCACAAATGTTTGGCCTTGTACAATATTTTTGGACTATCGTCAGGGAGGGGCATTACCTAAGTGAGTATTGCTACACAAAAAATTTAGTCTCTTTCCTGGTAAAACATTGTATTTTCCCAGTATCTATCTGTCTGTCTGTCTAATGAATTAGTAGGCATTAGACATGTGTGTATTGCTTGTTGATTGGCCTATAAGGCTGTGGGCAGAGTGAGATTGATTCTCAAATGCACAGAACTAATAGCTGTCTTGTATCACTTCATCAAGAATTAGTCAGTTCTGCTTAACTGGTGAGCTAAACTCACTGACTTAACTTAATCAAGCCTGATGAATCTATCCACATGTTGGTTTATTAGCTTATAATGAACTTGCTGTTTATATTAAGCAATAATGGACGTGCTGTTTATATTAAGCAATGAGGACATTTTTTTAGATCAAGTAGAACTTTATTTTATTCAAACCACATAAAAGACTGTATTATACACTTACTGTATTTCACTAAAATTTCTATAAAATTTTTATTCTCTCTCTGTCTCTACCTCTCTGTCTCTGTCTCTGTGTGTGTGTGTATGTGTGTGTGTGTGTGTGTGTGTGTGTGTGTGTGTGTGTGTGTGTTGGGGGGGTGAGGATTTTAGAGCTCCATGAATGCTAGCCTCCAGTTTTAATACTAGGGACCAGGAAAGAAAAGCCTTTGGGAGGAGCACTTTATAGGAGATAGATAGTTATAGATAAAACAAAAATAATGAGGTAGAATGATGGGGTGGAAAAGACTAAGGAACCGGGCTCTAGAAATAAGGAGAAAGCAAGAGGAGAGGGGACAGCTATCCAAAGAAAGAGGTATGAAAAGCCATAAAGCAGCCTACGGTCTCACAAACCAACTTTAAAAATGTATATGTAAAGAAAGAAGAAAGGGAACACTGAGCATTAATGGATTAAGAGAGATGAGAGTCCAGGGATGAGGGAGAATAGGGGGTTGTGGATGGGTTAACCAAATCTTAGGAACTATAAAATTATTGTGGGAAGCTAGCAGTTAATAGGGTAATATCACAATGTAACTTTTAAAAAGTTCCAATGGCCTTTGAGGCCTTTCTTCCAGAAAACAAGGACTTGGTTGTCAGGCCTATATTAGGCCTAAACCTT